CAATCCTCCAATGAAGTATGGCTACTCTATGTCCTCGAACTTTGACCGGACCCATAGAGTAGCTAACAGTTTCGGGTGCTAGGAAAAAGTCACCTAAAACTTTTGAGACACCAGCAGTTCCCCTAAGACATCAGATAAATAGTATTTAAGGCAGCTCCAAGATTTGTTACATAACAAGGTCACAAAAGGACCCTTGACGTGCCATTTTGAAATGACCATGCGATTTTGGACTCCGCAGTTTTAGATATTTTTAGCTGGCATTTTCAAGCAGAAATGGAATCCAGCCAGCGGAAATCATAACCCCAATGTCACTCGAACAATTTTCAGCTTGTTTGTTATCAAGGAACCGGGAATAAGGAGTATTTGGTGTTCGGCGAGTTTTGACCGTCAACTTCACATTCACTTCACAAGATGGCGCCGCTACCACTACCGCATTCGCCCAAGCTTCACGACTTTACTGCTTTTAGGAGGCGATATAGAGTTGAATCCCGGCCCAGCTCAAAAGCAAGAAAGAATCGAAAATATGTATATAAATCAATGTCAAGCAAGAAAGAATCGAAAACATGTCATGTCCGTCGCCCATCTCAACGTTGGCTCTGTGGCGTCGCGCGAAAATTTCTATCTTCTTAAACAGACAGTTACCACTAACAATTTCGATATCTTAGGCAGTCTCTGAGTCGTGGCTGGACCGTACAGTATGCGACGAGGATATTCTTATTCCGAGATATACGACTTTCAGGCAAGATCGAGGGCCACACAAGAGAGGCGGTGGAGTACTTGTCTATGTTAAAGACATTTACAAGGCCTGCGTCACTGAAAAATGGTCCTCAGTATCTGAAAGCAATTGTCAATAACTATGGTTGAAAGTGCAGTGTAAAAAGTTTAAATCTTTTTTTCTCTGTGCAGTTTACAGGTCACCGGCTGCTCCCATCGATTTCTACGAAAAGTTGAGCGAAACATTTGTACACTCTTTGCTACATGGCTCAAACGTGATAATTCTTGGAGATCTGAACTGTAATCTTATTGGAGGTGATCTTGACGGTCATGCACTGAGCGATTTTTGTTCGACTTTTGGTCTATCACAACTCGTCAAAACCGCAACAAGAGTGACTGAAAATTCCTAGTCACTTATAGACGTTACTTTGACAACGAACGAGAATATAATTCATGCTTGTGAAGTGATACAGTCTGCAATCAGTGATCACAGTTTAGTCAGCTTAACATTCAAATTAAATACACTGAGACCAAGGATTTCGTTTGTGACCACGAGAAGTTATAAAAACTATGAACATGATAGTTTTATTGAGGATCTGGCTAACGTTCCTTTCCATATAGTTAATCTTTTTTGACGATCCTGACGACCAAATACATGCCTTTTAATAACTGCCCTTTCTAATATGTTTTAGACAATCACGCTCCCATCAAACAAATTAAGATTCATTCAAGACCTAATCTATTTGTGTCAACGGAGATCAAAGGATTAATGAACACGCGTGATATGTGGCACAAAAGGGGTATAAAGACCAACGACAAATTACACTGGAATGCGTATCGCCATTTTCGTCAGGAAGTTAAACGTGAAATCAGGCTTGCCGAAAAAGAGCATGTTCGCTCTAATTCTAAAAATCGAATGGTAATACCAATTCGATTTGGAAAATTCTCAATCGATACATTCCAAGGAAAAATACTCCATTAGCCACTGTCGAAAATCCGTTTCTCCTAGCAAACAAATTCAATGAATTTTATGCAAACAGATATGACAGCTTTGAAATCTACGAAGCTTGCCGAGGGACACAATTTTAACATTCATGACACAGAGGGATTTGGCCCGTGCGAATCTGATCGCAACTCGTGTCCAAACAATACTCCAAAATATTTGCATTGCAACCATTACCACAGGCGATGTGCATAAGATTATTAAGAGTCTACCTTCAAATCAAGCTCCAGGTGGTGATAAGTTAACACCAAAATCCTGAAAGACAGCTCACCAGTTATCGCTCCCATTATAACTAGTCTTATCAACAATTCCTTTACTTTGAGCACTTTTCCGCTTCCATGGAAGAAAGCAGAAATCGTTCCAATTCTTAAGTCCGCGAGAGAGTTAATAGGATAAAGCATCTCTTAGATCAAAAAACATTGATCTATCTTATAAATTCTTTCGTCTTCAGCAAATTATTTTATTGTTCGACGGTATGGAGCAAGAGGAACGAGCAAGAAGAACGATATAAAACTTCAGCTGGTTCAGAAATATGCCTGCAGAATCGCAGCTGGTTTAAGAAAGTACGATCACGTTTCAGAAGCCCTGAAGTCCCTTAAATGGCTTAACGTAAGGGATAAACTGCTTTTAACGACCTAGTGATGGTCCTAACACCTAACACCTGGTTACCTTCACGGACGCTTTCAAAATCGTGCAAAAACAAACCAAAGAGACACTGCCTGACGGGACAACATATAGGAGTTCTGGTTGTCGAAGAAGAGTGAAAGAAAACTAAAAGTTAGGAAATTAGGTAAATTTCAGTAGCGTTTTCGTATCGATGAGGGAATCAAAACGGCAAACAACCACACACAATTCGCTTTGAAGCAAATACTAAGGAGCTTTAGCAACGCGACGAAGACGGTATTAAAAAAAGTCGCTAAAAATAAATTTGCGTCGTTTTCAATTTAGAGGATTTTCCTGGAGTTGAATTCGTAAGGACCTTAACCAGGTTCAAAAAGAAATTTGTTCACCTCCCCGTACAACGTTGCATTTGAAGGCTCCACGTCGCAGTAGTGCAGTGGACATTAAAGAAATGAACAGTCCACTAAAAAGCGTGATGCACGTGCAGAGCTGTTATAGTGCTCATAGAATCAATAGGTTTTTGACATTCTTGTTGTCATCGTTGTCGTGGATGTTTAAGCTCCCTGTTGGCATGAGGGTTTAGCCTGGCAGGATTCGTGTGAACGGAGTTTGAGGGGCTCCCGTGCGAACATAAGTAAAATAGGAAATGGCGTGAAGAGACAACATCACGTTTTTTTTTTCTTGTTTTTTGTGTAAACTTGGGAGGGAATGTTCTTCCGGTCAAGGCCCTTTAAGTCTTCTTTCGGGTGGTGAAGTGTGTCAGTTCAATAGACGTTTCCAGTAGTAATTTCCTCTAGTTCGTATTTGTAATTACCTGCTACACATTATATCCAGTTTTCGAACAAGGCAACACGGCAGTGTTGTCTTTCAATGTTTTATATAACTCCGTCTGACTTGCGCTATCCCACATTGGCATCGCGTACGTAATGGACGGCTGGATAACCTTCAAATAAAACGACTCGCACACATGACTGGGTAGAAACCTTGATTTTTTCAAAAGGCTTAATTTATTTGCGAAACTCGTAGCGACTTGTTGCACATGAGGTATCCAACTCAAATTTTGATCTACGGTAACACCCAGAAGTCTAGTCTTGGCCTTGTATTCTATGATAGACCCTCCAATATAAATGGCGGGCAGCGGGCCCATAAGCCGAGCTTTGAAGAGTAACATTACCTTGCATTTGCCAGGATGTGGAGTTAGGCGGTTGTTAATACACCAGGTAAACTCAACTAAAATTCCTAATCGATGCGATCAACACTACACAACAGAGCTGTCTCGAATCTGAGGGTGTTTCTTAAAAAATTGCTTGAATTTAAGAAACGGTCCAGATAAGAACGATAGCACTGAACGGCAACGAACATGTTGGAATGCAAAGAAGGAGCTAACTTTTCTATTGTCTGTACTTACTTCTAATTGGCTTAAACAGCAAAGTTAACAAAACTTCATAAAGCAGTACATATATTCATCCTTACTTTCCAACCATCTTCCATATAACAAAATCTGGTCTCAGTTTGAATAACAAAGAAATCCTATGTGGGGAACATGTAAAATTGAAAACTTTCCTTGGCTATTGTTTTCAACTCTTGTAATTGGTCAAAATCTTTTAACACAAAAAAACACCCTTTCAAAGTGGAGTGTAAATGCATTTTATTGCGTAAACGGCCTTCATGTAGGTTTATGCATTCTCTGTGTAAAAATGAGAACATTCCTATGTGGGGAAAGCACCGTTGCCGTATAACAAAAGAAATTGCTATCCACCATACTCGGATCATTACTTAACACCAGCTCGACTAACACAATGCTAATTGATGAATTTGCATTTCAAAACAGACTTTCTCTTCTATAAAGACACACAAAATGTACCTTAAATCTTCGCTCACTAGCTCGGTTGTCCTTCTGCCGATCCTAGCCGCGAAGAAAACAGTCAATGATTAATTCATCCAGGGCAAACTTGTCGCTTGATCCTTTGACTTTTTTCCTTTAAATTGACAACTGAGTGTTTTCTTGAACTTCTACTTTCCATTTGTACATTTCATCGGTGCATTTTACTGACAGGAAACGAGATTTGTTGAATTTGCCTCAATTTTACCGCGCTAGCTCATTTCCTTGGCGTGCACCCACGGGTAAATGGTCGTGGCTAATTGACCAATCAGAGCGCGAGCTTTATTTTGTTATGTTATAATAACTGATACAGATGATACGTACACTCGCTTTATTTTTCAAAAAAAGGCGAATCTGCCAACTCGCTTACAACTCCAGGTTACTCAGGAAATAACAAATAATCTCTACTAATCCTGTTCACATCACCGTATCCATAATAATGTGCTTTTATACATTTAATAGCGAAATGACCCTTGACAAAAAAAAAATCAAACTTCTCTTCAACTTATGATGTAGTTTTGCCTTTTTATATCAGAATAATATTTCTTCTTTTTCAACCAAGCAAATGATAAGTCAAATTACTTACCTCCGGCTAAGTTTGTCGCGTCTGACCTGCTATCAAACCTTTAACGGCTGTTTGCTCTGGAAGATAGAATCAAAAAGTCCCCTGCATGGATACTGAGCTATTTCGTTGACACTTTTAAAAGGGAAAATTACAAACTCACATCCCTCCACGGGAAAGAAAAGCTACATAAATGTAACTGAAGCTAAAGACAAAGCATGTCGTTCGTTGTCGCTCAACCTGTGAGGGGGAACTTAAAAGATCTCGGCGAATACTTCGACAAAAAAGTAAAAGAAAGACAAAAGATTAAATCACCATGCAATTACAGACAAGAAATGTTTTGTCGCTCAAGCTGTAAAATGGATGAACTAAAAAGAATCAAAACTTTCAGTAAGAGGAGTAAGTAAAGTTTTTACCTCACCGGAATCTTAAATAACAGAAATCACTTTATAAAATAAAACAAGGTTACATCCAATTCAGTGGACACCAAACTATACTAGACACTTGAATTAGTCTAAGCGTGCAATTTTTACACTTAATTTAGACATCTTAAACAAAATATCCCTTAATAAAACAAAAAAAGAAAGCTCTCCTTCAAGCACACTGCATTTGTTACCTTTTTATGTGACAAATATATATACATATATATATCTATATCCCTTTCCAAACTAGTCATAAAACAAGTCAGGCTATACTTACCGGCGCCGGGCGAAGTCTGTCAGTCGCGCCTAGCGTGCTATCAGATCTTCGAACGCTGTTTTGCTCTGGAAGATAAAATCAAGAAGTCGCCGTTGTTACGTATGGAGGGCGAGCTATTTCGTTGACACTTTAAATTTTAACAGGGAAAGTAAAAGACTTGGCGCATGCCCTCACTGTAAAGAAAAGCAACATGAATGTAACGGAAACTAAGGACAAAGCATGTCGCTTGCTTCCGCTCAACCTTCGAAGCGGAACTTATAATGCATAAGATCTCGGCGAATGCAAGAAAGACAAAAACATCTTGCTCCCATAATAGTATTTCAAATACAGGTAACACGTAAAGCGATTTACGTTCATTGCTAACTTACATGTATGCTAACCTGCCAGGAGAGACCAAAGTTCTGACCAACAAACTCGCCTTTGCGGGTCATGAAAAGAATCAACCGAATGCATAAAAGGTAAACAAAATGATGCATGAATAAAATTTACACAGAGGGAAAAAACCCGTCAATTTTTGTTGCTCAACTTGCAAAATGGATGAAGTTTTAAAAAGATTAAAATCTTTTTGAGGGAATATCTGTACCTTCCCGAAACTTCATGTTAAAAATATCACTATGAAACGAAAACAAGGTGATATCCAACTTGGACGCAAAACCAAAAAGTTTGAATTAAGCTGCAATCAAGCTGAATCAAAGGAATGAAGCTCTCGAAATCTTTTGTTGATGAAGAGCCTCCCAATATTTAGGAATCGCAATGAAAGAAATCTTAATTTGTCCTGCCTCTTATCATCAACAAGAAATCGTTTCCCTTTCCGAGAAGAAGAGAGAAACAAGCATCTCTCTCTTCTAATTTCCTAGTTGACCGACATGTCAAGAACGGGAACTGAATTCTTGAGTCTTAAACTAAGAAGTAAATATGGTTAGATCAACGTACTCACCATAAACTCTCTCACTAAAAGTACCGAAAGGAAAGTGAAATTGAAAAATCTGAGACTGTCCCTGCATTCTAAGAAACAAAGCCTCGAGTGATAATGATTCCCGGAACGAAATGCCCTAGCCCTTGATATAACATGCATGACGTGTCGCGAGGCAGTATGCCTACTGATGAATTTTTATATCGTTTGGAACTTTCATACCAGGTGCACCCAACAACTTTTATCAGTAAAATTTTTTGGAAGGAGCAAATATTGACTAGAAATCTCTAAAACTTGGGAAAGGCTAGCCTGTTCCCATATCCTCCATTTTTTCTTTTAAGAGCGTGCGTATGAAAATAGAAAACGTGGCGATTTATTGACCGCAAGCGAATATTGAGAATTTTTCTTTTTTTTTTTACTAGCTTACCTACGATTTTCGGATGTTGAGTTTTTCAAATTTATTGCCAAGATAAAGCGATTATTGTTAAAAATGGTTTCCTTAAAATTTCTGCATACGAAAAACGTCCACAAGAATCCTATAATGAAAGTATGGACAAACATAGTTTTTAGTGCAGCTCCAAATTTACCAAACAGGCTTTCCTTTACTGCCTAACGTATTCTGTTGCTTCTTTGCGACTACTGTGCTACGGCTTAAAAACCCGGGACTTTCCCTTAACAGGCAGTTTCCAATTATGAAAATTCATATTAGAATTGTCCAGCATTGAATCTAGCTGCGACATATTTAATTTTGTTCACCTCAACCCCAGAGCCAGTTACTAATTTAAAAAATTCGATACCGGTCTAAAATGGAAGCCAAAAGTGGACGTCATTACATGAAGACTTCACATATATGTTCGTAGATGGCACCTAGATGTAAATAACAATGAACCTATTGAACGAAAATGGCAAAGTACAATTGCGCCACGATAAACGCTTTCTAAATTTGTGAATCAATGATTTCCCATTTTCCTAGTTCCCCTTTATGTCATCTTAGATACGTTGTTTGTGGCCACGAAAAGAGCGTCTGTGACGGGATGAGTAGCTATGATCAGTATATCTACGCCCAGCCGAACCCTACATTTTAGTGTACCCTAAACCCTGTATCTAACCTAAGTTTTTGTCTAAGGTTATTGAAAAACTTGCAGCCATGCGCCTGACGGATTATTTGTGTGATAATGATCTGAATGAAAGTCTCCAGTCTGCTTATAAGAAACACCACAGTCGTGAGACAGCGCTTCTACGTGTTCAAAATTTGATATACTGAAATCAATTGATAATAAACAATGCGTCGTTCTCTTGCTGCTGGACCTATCAGCAGTGTTTGACACCGTCAATCATAAGATCTTGTTACACAGACTGCGATCCAGGTTTGTTGTAAATAAATTTAAATCTAAATTGAAGACCTTTCTTTTTAAGCGAGTTTACGAACTATCTTAGGTTTTTATTTTGCATTTTTGTGACTATGTAAGGATTATATGGATATCCTGACCTTTTTAAAGCATTGTAAAGCGCTTAGCACTGAAAAGTATAGGCACTTTACCCTCCCCTTCGAGTGGGAGGCTAGTGCCCGTATTACACAACTGGTTTACAGTATCCCTTCTCTTATTTTTTGGCCACGCTCGTGTAGTGTCACGTGAAGTTTTGTAGCACATTCTATCGCACTGGTGTGACCGTAAATGAGATCACTGTAGCCATCAGGAAGTTTATCGAATACGTAGCTAACAGTTGGTATTGTAAGTTATTTGACTGTCTCTCGGGCTTTGTCGAATCAAAACTTCCGTAAAGATGTCTATTGGTTTTACGATACATTTTTTGTTGAAAAGGTAAATTGCGAGGACTGAAACAATCTGAATGGCCTGTCGAATCGCGAAGATGTTGTCCATGACTCTATTTTCTTAACCTTCAAGCAAAATATTTTAAGCCTAAAAAAGTGAAAGCAAGAAATTTTCCGGGGAGGTACCCAAGCTTGCATGTGACATTTTTAAATGTCAAAAAGGTGACTAGATACAGTTTTTCGGAGACCATACCGATACTTTTCAATCGCCTCAAAAGTGATTGTATGCTTATCCGATCGCTGTAAAATTTTCACCGCCTGACTTTGGATTGAAGTTTGTCAAAATCTACAAGTAACATCGATATCACTTGAAATTGATGAAAGCCGAATTTTTGCTCGATCTAGGCCTGCTACTGGAAATTCGACAAGAGGAAGTGTGATGTTTAGCAAATAACCTGCGTAAGAAAAAAAAACTGTGATTGAATTAAAAAAAAATAGCCGTGATTACTCAAATTAATCTTAAGTAACATCAGAATGCTGCTTAATATTATAATGCGATGGTAGGAAATTTTGGTCTTTTTTCTTTCTTTTTTGTCTCCACCTGTCCAAGTGCAACTTTACTCTAAATTTTGATTTTTAGCGTTTTTCTGTATATCTTTGGAACTGCTCGACAGAATTCTTTTTAAACCTCATCACATAATCTTCATGATGTATAAAATGCCTGAAACTTTCATAACGATTGATTAATACTGAAATATACTAGTCGTGGAGGTATGTATGCTGCACATTAATTTGGAATCATTGCATAATCAAACTACCTACCTTGATTGGTGTCGCACCTTTGCGTCTGTTGCGCTTAACTTAGAGACCCTTGAAAACCCGGGACTTTCACTAACAGTTCAGTTTCAAACTATCAAAATTCAAACTTGACTTTGAGGCTGCGGGAGTATAATAAAAGAACTAAATTATTCATCCTTAAATCTCAATGTCTTATGCGATTTTTCCTTTTTTTTCCTCGTAGCTTTTGAACCATGCCTATATTAGGGAAACCAGAAGTCAACGCGACACCATAGAGACTTCCCATAAATGGCACCGACATGCAAATAATAATCAATTATTAAACTAGTTTGGGCAAAATATTGTTTGTTTAACCTGATCTGCGGAAATTTCTAGACCTCTAACTTGAATGTTGTGTTTTCCAGCAGTAAGATCAAGGTCCACACCGCCAAGAAAACCAACGTTTGTCCCGAAAAGAATCAACCACCTGCATAAACGGTACACAAAACGATACGTGAATAAAATTACAGAATACAAAGATAAACTTAAAAGATATAAAAAAAACCTTCCGACAGAGTAAATGAAATTTGTGCCTTCCCGGTGCATTATGTTATGAAAACTGCGAAGAGAAAGCGAAGCTATATCCAATTCAGTTGACAGCAAACTCAGTTGAAGCGAGCAATATTTTAAAGTATCCACTATTAATGTATTAGAGAGAAAAATTATCTAAAATATTTCTTCGGTGAAGAATCTGCCTGTACTCAAGAATCGCAACGAACGAAATCTTGGACCTGTCCTGTCCCTGGTTCTCAACAAGAAACCTTTTTTGCTTTTCAAGAGGGAAGGGAGAACTAAACAACTCACTTGCAAATAAATATCCTTTGTTGTTGTACGCGAATTGACATTATTTAAACGGAAGCTTCGCTTTTAGGCTTGGCTGAATCTGTATATATTAATTTAAAAAGCCAGTTTTCATATCACACTCATATCATAGTAAACCACCCTGACTTATCCTGGTCGAAACTGAGTCAGTTTACTGATACAGATTCCTACATGTACACTTGCGTTAACCTCTCTTCTACAAACGTTTTTATTGTTTTTGCCAGCCACTATTTTAATTACTTTCAAGATAATTAAAGAAATAACAAATAACGTTTTCTAACCCTATTCCCATCACCTTATCCATAATTATTTGCTTTTACACATTTAAAGGGAAATAACCCTTAACGAAACAAACAATGAAGCTCCTCTTCAAGCAATAATGCAGTGTTGGCTTTTTATGTCAGAAAAACTATATATCCCGTCCCTACACTAATCAATACAAATGCGTACACTGGCACTGGTTTTACATTTCAGAATAGACGAATCTGCAAAGTCGTTTACAAACATTTCTCTTTGTCATTCATCTTTTCTAGTTTATATTTTCCAGGTTACTCAAGAAATAACATATTCGCTCTCAGAAATAGACATCTTAAACAAAATATCCCTTAACAAAACGAAGAAGGGAGCTCTCCTTTAAGCACAATGCAGTTTTTGCCTTTTTATGTGAGAGAAAATACATATCCCTTTCTTTAACTATATTCATTAAGACCTCAAGTCTCACCTTCGCCGGGCGTTTGTCAGTCACGTCTGGCGTGCTATCAGATTTTCAAAGGCGGTTATGCTCTGGGAGATAAAATCAAGAGGTCCCTCGTTACGAATGGACGGCAAGCTATTTCGTTGACACTTTTTTACCAGGGAAATTAGACTCGTATACCGCCACTGTAAAGGAAAGCTACATAAATATAACGGAAACTAAAGACAATAAATGTCGCTCGCTGCCGCTCAACCTGCGAAGCGGAACTCATGTATAAGATCTTGGTGAATGCAAGAAAGACAAAACCATCTTGCTCCCATAATAGTATATCAAATACAGGTAACATGGAAAGGGATTTCCGTACATTGCTGCTGACTTACATGTATACCAATCTGTCAGAGGAGACCAAAGTTCTTAGCAACAAAATCGCCCTTGCTCATGAAAAGAATCAATCAAAGGAAAAAAAGTAAACAAAGTGAAGCATGAATAAAATTTAAACAGAGGGAAAAAACCCGTCAATTTTTGTTGCTCAACCTGTAAAATGGATGAACTTGAAAGATTCAAAACTTTCAGTGAGAATAAATAAGCTTTTTCTGTACCTTCCCGACACTTATGTTAGTTCATGTTAAAAATATCGCTATGAAAAAACAAGGTTATATATAACTTTGTGGACACAAAACTAAATAGTTTGAATTAAGCTCGCAATGCTTTAAAGTAACCACCCTCCTTGCAATCAAGGGAAAGTTCTCAAAATCAAAATCTCTGCCAATATTTAGGAATCGCAACGAAAAAATCTTTATTTTGTCCTGCCCCTGATCATCAACAAGAAATCATTTCGCTTTCCAAATCTCACAAATCTCACTTCCAATTTCCTAGTTGAATGACATGTCAAGAACGGAAACTTAATATTCATCGAATCTTAAACTAGGAAGTATAAATGCCCAGATCAACGTACTCACCAAAAATGTTTCTCACCAGAAGTACAAAAAGGAAACTGAAAATTGAAAAGTCTGGGACCGTCTCTACATTCTAAGAAGTAAAGCCTCGCATGATAATGAAACAAAAACCACAGCCCTTAATATAACATGCATGACGCGTCGCGAGGCAGCGGGCATACTAATGAATTGTTTTATATTGTTTGTAGGCGGTGTGCGTCACGACCCACAAAGGTTCGTGGGTAAAACTGTTTATGTGCCTCATTTCAATCGTGACACGGTCGAGTTCGCATCTCGTGAGAGAGATGAATCAAAACCCGGGATCAAAACACTGCTTCCTTTTCTGAAAAACATTACGGAGGAGAGCGATCTGGAGAATTTTCAGGATCTCATACTGGCCTTAGATGCTTGCTATTGGTTTCACAAAGTAATGTCAAGTTTATCGCGATTCGGAGACGATCGAAGCCGGTGCGATTTAAGGCGGCGATTTCCTGCTTCTCTGAAGATGTTTTGTACTGTTTAGTGCTGTGCTTATATGTATATTTCTATTTCAGAAGAGTGAAAGAGATCTGTAGCTCATACCTGGATCTACTTAAATAAAAAATTTGTCCATTTAATAGTAACGTTTGATGGACTTTAATAACCTGGCAAGGAGGGGGAGTGCGAACAAAGAGCAAGGTGAGAAATCTTGCATAGTCTCTCATAACAATTTTATTTTCATCGACAATTTTATATTATTTTACAAACATTGACTGTTTGTAATCCTTATAAGCAAATAAATCTTCTATAGGCAAGGGAAAAACAGACCAAAAGTAGCGCCCAAACAGCTACAGCACAATAGGAATTTCACCGAAGCTAAGCCCGCAGAAATAAACCACAATCTAGTCTGTACGTTCATTGAAGNGGCAAGTTTCTCAGCCCGTTTCCGGGGACTTGTGCAACTTGGATGAGACAATAGGGAACTTAAGAACCACGACGACGACTTTTTCGACGACGACCGGAAGTGAGATACCGTGCACTGCGCAAGCGCGGTTAACAAATTTCGTCGTCGTGGTGTCGTCGACGACGCCAAACACAGTAGAATCACGTCGTCCTGCAGTCCACAAGCTTCGGCAGGTATAACTCCCTGTTTTTAAGCGATTTTTTTAAGGGCTTTGTATTTTTTCACCTCATAAATCCAGGTATCCTTTCCTTTTTCTCCTAACAAGCGATGTTGATTGAAAATTTGACTGATGAATTGTGTTTACTTCGAAGACAACACTGAGCTGTGCAGGCCGAGCGAGCGAACTCGTAAGTGACAAATTTATTTGTACGTATTTAGGTCAGGCAAATCATATATCTTTAATATAGAGGAAATGAACTTTATATGGAAAACAGCTATTGCATAGGAATGTCTCTTCTTCCAAATCTAAACTCTGACAGACACTCGGACTCGGTCATGTTATTCAGGTTGAAAGTTGAATAACCTTCGTACCGAAAGCAGAGATTTTTCCATTCGAAAAGATCAGACAACACTAAAAATTCTTCATCGTCAATGAAAGTAGACTTTACGGCTTATAAAATAAGATCTTGCATCGTCTTAAAAGACGCCTTTGCGTAAAAACTTTGTTGCGAACGTACATCACAGTTGTACTAATTCTACATGTTTGTTTACATTCAGTGTCGTCGTCGTCGACCTACCGATCGACTGCATCTTAAGTTTCCTTTTTCCCGCCGAAACTGACGTTCTCGTTCCAGTCCTTTCCCATTCAACAGACGTCGTCGTCGTGAACTTCGTCGTGGTTCTTAAGTTCCCTAATATCTTCATTCCAAGACACTTTGAACGCGTCATAACAGGGGTAGACCCCGGTAGACCCCAAAATTTACAAAGAAGAAAAGTTGAAGTGACAAATTGACCGAAATAATCCGATAAAACCGCTAACAGTAACCAGCAATGAATCCAAGTAGAACTGCGAAAATAACACTCAAATCATCATGGCGGCTTGCACATGACCAAGAAATTCAAACTTGTCACAAACGCTCAAGAAAGCGAAATATTTAAAACTAACGCAACTGATATCAAGATAAAGTGTTCCACCAACTTTCCATGTCGGTATAGTGTCGAAATTACCTACACAAGCTTGGAATAAAGCGAAAATTTCACCACATATACCTCTGCAAACGGCTCTTTCCAAGCGCGAAAATCACTCTACAAATGACGCATTCTGATTGGTCGAATCTCGTGATGCATACCGCCTGTATTGTTTGGAACTTTCCTACTAGGGGCACCAAACGCCTTTTTTTCTATCAAATTTGTTAAAAGGAGCAAATTTTGCCTAAAAATCCCCTAAAGGTGGAGAAAGGCTCAGCCTGTTCACAGGCCCTCTGTTTTCTCTTTTAAAGTCCTCCAACGCTGGTATGTCTAAATGTTGCGGGTCGCGACTTGCGCTAATCGTACATATGGCCCCAAAAACTAAACGGAGCTATCGGACTCCATCAGAATAAAGAATCGATCTATCGAAGTAAACCTGGCAATGTTCTTCCTTTTTGTCACTCTTTGAAATCAGAACTATTAATGAAACTTTTACCCACATGCACGGGTATTATTGCCGTGATCAAGCCGCCAGTAACGTGGGAAAATTCGATTTACCAGGATTGCAAATTCTTTCGTGTGACCTGACAGCGCCAAAATTGAGCACGAACGACGAATGAAAACTCTCGATTCATACTTTTTGCTGAGGACGTAAGTACACGCAAGTCTCATTTAGTGTAAAAAGAAGTCAAAGCTGTATTTTCGATGAGCCAAATTACGTCTACATATATACACAGGGTAATATATAGATTTAGCCAGGGCTAAAAGCGAGGCTCCCATTAATAAATTTATAATTTAAATTAAACAATAAACTTGTATTCGAATTCCACAATTCAGTTAACTTTAGA